TGTATCTCGGTAACCGTTCTACCAATTTGTACCAAACTCGGTACGGTTATTGTGCTTGCCACATAAAAGCCAAAAATTACGGCCGCTTTTCATATAACAATAGATTTCAGAAATGCTTGAAATTTCAATATTTAATTTAATTTAATTTAATTTAATTTAATTTAATATTATATTGAAAACATTAGTGCATTAAGATGTAATCTTTACTTGCACAATGATACGAACAAATTGCAAGAAATAAAATAAGAAGTACAGATAATAATTAATTAATATTACAATATAGATTAAGGTAATGTGTACGTTGAGTTACAAATCATATATTCTAAAATAAAACAAAGGTAAGCTTATAACCACTATTCTTGATCACGCTTGGAAGAAAAAAAGTTAAATATGAGTTTTTTGAAGTTGCCTATGTGCAACGCGTTCTTCAAGGACAGTGGAAGGGAGTTCCAGAGCCTTACCGCATTAAAAAAAAACAGTCTTGAAGTGCATAAATAGTTAAATCTCGGAAGAATAAGACCTGACGAACGTGTACTCTTGGAGAACTTAAGTTTATTGTACAGATATTCCGGGCTCTTCGTGATAAATAATTTGAACATAAAAATGCAATTACGCGCGTTCAGAAAATTTTGTAAATCACAGCCAAGTATAGAATTACGCATAGATGAGAGATGATCGTATTTCTTTAAACCAAATACATACCTTGTGGTAGAGTTAATGGCGATATTCAATTTTTGGAGTGAATGAGAGTCTAATTTGCCGTAGACGATTTCAAAGTACGTGATATAAGGAACAATTAAACTTGTAATTAACTTTTTCTTAGCGGCTACCGGTACATAAGGTGAAGTTACTCTAAGACATCGTAGAGTAAAAAATATTTTACTCACAACTTCATTAACATGATCATCACACGCAAGTCTAGAGCTAATAACGAAACCCAAATTCCTGGCTTTGTCAACTAATTTAAGCTGGTTGGCACCAATAAATAAGTTGGGAATATCCGATGCCCAAAATTTATCTTTAGCGACAGGTATTACACAAGATTTTTGAGCATTGAGGCAAAGTAAATTCTCCCTAGACCATGCAAATATTGAGCTTAAGTCCTCGTTAAGTTGTAGACAAATATCCTGAATCGATCCAATTTTATTAGAAACATACAGCTGCACATCATCGGCATAGGCGTGTAAGCGCGCATGAGTGCAGGTGCTGAAAATGTCATTTATGAAAATGCTAAACAAAAGGGGGCCCAATATGGATCCCTGAGGGACACCAGAGTATATATGCACGAGGTTAGAACAATTATTGCCGATTTTCACCTTTTGAAACCTGTCGCTCAAATAGCTCTCTATGAGTTTTACTGCAGTTTTGCTGAAGCTGAAGTATTTAGCTAGTTTTTCACACAATAAATTGTGGTTTACAGAATCAAAAGCCTTAGAAAAATCAAGCAGACAAAGTAGTGTTAAATGACCTTGATCGAATGGCTGACGTATATCGTCTAAGACTTTAACAACAGCAGTAGAACAGGAGTGACCAGCTCTGAAACCACTCTGCAGAGGGTTTAGGAGTTTATTTTTATGAATGAAGTCGGATATTTGCTGCGCTAAAAGCATCTCAAAAACCTTAGAAAGTCCTGTTAATATACTTATGGGCCTGAATTCACAAATCAGAGAGGCACCAGGTTTTTTGGCTATTGGTGTGACATTTGCTACTTTCCACTTGGATGGAAAGCACGAAGTGGTTAAACAGTGATTGAGTATGTGTGTAAAGCAAGCGAGAATGTAAGGCAAAATTAATTTGACAAACTTTATCGGAAGCTCATCATTCCCCACAGCATTAGATTTAATACTGCATACACATCTGGCCACTTCCTCCTCGCAAACGGAACTAAATTAAAATCTCGAGAGGGTGTGTTGGTCAGAAGACGAAGAAGTGGTATTTGTTACAGACGTGTGATTAGTCAAGCAACTACTTGAAGCAAAAAAATTATTGAGTTCATTGGGATCAAGTGAGCAGGGTATTTCTAAGCTTGACCGCACGCCCAACCTTTTCAAATTTCCCCAGAGCTGTTTAGGAGGCAACGATACGTTAAGCTTTGCGCAGAAGAAGTTCTTCTTAGCTAGCCGTACAGAAATAGTAGCCGAATTCCGGGCACGTTTGTAGAGGTTCCAATTTTCCTCTGTTGGCCTCCTTTTCCAGGTGTTGTAGGAAATATTACGCTTTTTAATCGCTAATTTAACTTCTTTGTTAAACCATGGACAGGAGCGTGACTTAGAGATACACTGGCGAATAGGTACATGCTTATTAAAGAAATATAAGATATTTTGTACAAAGAAGTCTAGTTTTTCGTCAGCAGTTACTAGCTGCCAACAAAAATTCCAATGGAACCGGTTTAAATCCGAAAACAACGCATCAAATTTAATGGCCTTATAGTCACGGTAATAGAACTTCGTCTCTTCTTCAGCTTTGTTATTTAACTTAAAGTCGAACGAACAAAAAATCAAATCGTGGTCAGAGATGAAAGACATTTGGTCAAACAAACGCACAGAAGTAGACCTTGGAACTATGAAAATGTCAAGAAGACTAGGACGAACATTGAATGAAAATCTTGTAGGCATACAAGTATTGACAACAGACATACCAACTGATGCGACAGAGTCTAAAAAATTCTTGGATAAAGAGTCAGGTGAGAGTAGATTAATGTTAAAATCGCCACATATAATATAGTGGTCATAGTCAAGAAGACGAGGAGTAAGGTCATCGAAAAAAGGCTGCAATGAAATGTTCTTGCTAGGATTGTACACACAAGACACCAACACTTTTGTGCTCGCATCTGAAATCACGGTAGTCATAAACTCAATCTCAGACGTAGAAGAACTTATAATATTAACATTTCGATTGTTTCTACAATACACAGCCACTCCACCACCTCTTCTACCCAAACGGTCATTGCGAAACAAATTATAGTTTGGGATTGAGTAGCAATAATCCGGAATATCCGCACTGAACCAAGTCTCTGACACACAAACAACGTCAACAAACGAATCTTCAAATATACTTCTAATGCTATCCAGTTTGTCACTATTCAAGCTGCAAGCGTTGAAATGAACTACATTAAAGCCACCAGCACGCTTACAGAGCACATTTACCAGGACTGTTTGGTTGAAATTAACATTATGTGACGGACTGTTCTCCAACATATTGTGGAGTAATATTAAAAGAAAATGGTATATTTCGAAATTTAAATACGCTAACTTACTCAAAATTGATACACCCCGGCTTACCATGTAGCGGTAGCTTGCGGAAAGGTGAAAAACATATATTTAATACTTGCGCCGGGTATTTAATGTTCGGCTCCGCCCGAACTTAGACTTTCTTACTTGTTTAAAATTAGATTTAATTTTAGATAGTACCACATATTGTGAAATTGTATGCAAATGAAATTGCAGTATGGCGATAACAATTAACATAACAAACAGAACAGTTGCAGCGAGTGCTGCATATTTCAAACAAACGGATAGCTCTCGTCAACTCCAGACGAACGGATAGCCATAGTTGCTTCAAAAAGGCCAAAAACAAACGAAAAGTCCCAAAGGCCCAAACGGAGAAAAAATGCCCATATTTGGTACAATTGTAAATGCTAGTCGTACATCTTCTGATGAGCCAAATTGTGTACAGAATGTTTTGCTTAGCTGCCTATCCTTCTTTTTTGCTCATTTACACACGGCGATTTTTGTTGCCGCAATTAGACGTTTGTAGGAGAGAGCGTGACGAGGAAAGGAGAGGGGCACCGAGTTGCTCGTGCTCGGGCAACACGCTTTGTGCTCTCGTTCGTCTGTGTAAATTGAACCGCTGTTCACAGCTGACAATAGACAATTGCATACACACAAATCGCCGTGTGTAAATGAAACGAACAACACCAAAAGGGAATGTGAAAAATCGCGTCGACTGAAGTTTCTGTGTATAAACACAGTCTTTGCACGAAAAACTTTTGCACTTAAGCGAAAAAAGCACTTAAGCGAATTTTCTTTACAACTTTAATGAGGAAGGTATCGGAATCCCTATGAAAGCAAATAATAGAGGAGCACTTACCACGTGGAGATTACTGGAAGCGAAATTTTTTTCTGAATGGTGTCTAATCTATATACATATATCAAAATGGTGTGAAAAATGGTTAGTAATTCATCAATTGAAAACGGTTGGACCGATTTTGCAATTTTTTTTTAGTTGTTCGTAATTGCCAGGAGAAGGTTTTTACGAAAGAAAATTTGGGAAACCCCTCCAGAAAAGTCGGAAAT